GGAACCCAGCACCCAGGTGCTATCAGACAGTGGTGAGGGTATGAAGCCCGCAGGCCACACCTGGCCTGTCCCCTGCTGTCTGCCCCAACCAGACCTTGTTCCCCAACAAGGGACCTTGTGTGACTCCACTCCACAGCTCTAAAGTCGTCTGAGAGCAAGCAAACCAAGTGCTTTGAGTTTTCCGGGGCAGAGCTCAGGGGCACAAGGCCCCTCCCCCCCGTCTAATTTTGTACGCTCCCCAAATTAGATCTAATGGAAATGTAGCTGAGCTGCAGCCCCAGGAAGTAGCCCAGGCAAGTGGTGACGTGGTTAATAGAAGCCAGAACCCGTATGCCGTCTGTGCTCCTTGGAGGACGGCAGGTTGTTTAATGGCATTTGGAAGATGAATGCTGAAAAAGCAGCCCAAGGCCATCAGACTTTATCTCAGATAATGTCTCGCCAGTAAACCGCATTCTGAAATGCTTTTCTGGGTTACAATGATGGGGTTACCGAGAAGCAACAGGCGTGCCACAGTAGACAGTCAGAGCTGTGCTTGGGAAGGGGCCAGGTGGGGCACAGAATGCTGGAACACCTGGATGCTGGACATAGAGGGAGCACGTGTAAGGCTTCCCTTCCATGGCCTTGATCTGTGAGGAGAGGGGTGGGGCGAGGGGCGGGTGGGAGCCAGGCTTAGGGGAGCTGAGAAGAAAGGAAATTGGTCACAACTCAGAAGCAGGAAAAAGCCAAATGCATCACCTGCCTGCTCTGGGTCAGACCCTGGGGATGCTGCCTCCCGTGATGCTTTTTCTTATAATTCTCCAAGCATCTCAGAGAGACCAGATTGTCACGGAGCAGTTACACCCTTTGCCAAAGCCGTTCTGCGACGGTGACATCTGGGAAGCAGAGAGACACGCAAACTGCCCTGAGCTGCCTGTCCCCCCACTTCTAGCCACTGGATGTTTCCAAGGCTGCATCTCATCCACAAAAGCTTGTGTGTCACTTTCCCGTGGCTGCTGTAATAGCTTATCCCAAATTTGGTGGCTTAAAGCAACACACATGTATTCTCTTACAGTTCTAGAGGCCACAAATCCAAAACCTGTTCCACGGAGCCCAAATCAAGGTGTCAGCAGGGCCACGCTCCCTCCGGAGGCTGGGGGGAGCCTGTTCCCAGCCTCTTCCAGCTTCTAGAGCTGCATCCCCTGCCATGTGGCCTCTCCCTCATCTCCAAAGCCAGCAGGGTAGCATCTTGCTTCAGACTGCCCTCCACCTTCTTCTGTAGTCATTTCTGCCTCCACCTCCCTGCTATAAAGACCCTTCTGATTACATTTACCCACCCCCAGATAATCCAGAATAATCTCCTCAAGATCCTTAATTGAGTCATATCTGCAAAATTCCTTTTGCCACATGAGGTAACACGGATTTAGGGGATTAGGACGTGGGGACCTTTGGGAGGCATCCCTCAGCCCCACCACAATGAGCGACCCACACGCCTTCACTCCTCGCCATTGATCTCCAACCTGCAGAGGGGGTGGGGTCCTTCTCCTCCCGCCCATCCCTCTCCAGCACCACCCCCCGCCTCTTCTTGGGGGATAAAATGGCCACAGTTAATTGAAGCTTCTCTTGTGACCCCTCCTGGGTCAAAAATTATCAGAGCACAGTCAGTCCTGCTATCGTGCAAGATATGTACCCCTAAAAACCATGGCCTTGTGCTAACTTGCACACCAAGACCAGGGGGTTGTGGAGGAAACGGGGCTGGGGCATGAGTCAAAACCTGGATGGTGAAACCTACGAGAAGACAATAAACAGGGCAGCACCTGTTACTCATGCCAAATGGCTGGGAAATAAACACTGCAACAAATATGGCTCCTCACCCTGGAAAAACCCTACAATTTGCTTTGGATGTGGGCGTGGGAAGGGCTGCAGCTCCTGAGCTATGGTGGGGGTAGGAAGATGGCGGTCTGAAATCAAAGGGAAAGTTCTACCGCCAGATTGGTCGGGTGTGGCTCAGAGCGCGTGCGGTCCATGGAGGAAGACATTTGAGGTTCGTGTGTGTGTGCGTTGCAGGCTTCTCCTTCATTCGCTTCCATTCATCTCATGGTCTGTTCCTCTGTCTCTTCCAGACAAGATTGCACGTAAGCAAATGCAAAATTCAGGATTGCATGATGCTCAGGTGGGTTCCTATCCTATCAACCTAGTTGGAACAAATTCTCCTTTGCAAAGTAGAACTGACCACAGAGTGGGCCGTAAGAGGGTGGGAAAGGGCAGGAACTGAATCCACTGGCAATCAGGCAGCTGGAGGGGAGAGGGCTCTGTGTGTGCTGGGGCGTGGGGGATGCTCATGCACACACATGCACAGACATACACGTGCACACACACATGCACTCTCCCAGCTGCATCTCTCAAGGTCTCACCACCTTCCTGCTGCTCTTACCATGCTGTTATTTATTCTGTCTGCTTATAAAGTTTCCTCCACTTGTTGACATGCCCTAGAGGGATGAGGCCCTCGACTTTCCTGAATAATATGCATCCCTCCAAAGGACCCAGGTGGTGAAAACTGCAGACAGAATCAGAAATATGGCCAAGAAAGAGGGGGGCACGGCCCAGATGCTGTGGCCAGTGATTAGAATGACCAATGTGTCAGGCACGAAATAGGAGCTCCTTATATCGACCCAGCGTCCAGCATAAGGCCCCTTACATCACCAAAGGAAACAGGCAATTTTATGCCAACTCGGAGCAGTGTGTCTTGAGGTAATGGTGGGTATAATTCACGTCATTTGCATGGCCCCAGACCTGCTTGCAAAGGGAATTTCAGTCTGAGCTTCTAGGCTCCTGGCTTCTACGTTTTAAAGCCAGACCGTTAAAATATATATATTTAGAAGAATGCTAAAATATTTGACTTGCTCTAAGGGGGGTTAAGTGTCAGTGAAAATGGTCAGATTAATGGTCCCTGGAGATAGAAGTTGTCCTCCTTCTGTCCAATAGAAGTTGCCCTCCTTCTGTCCAGATGAATCAGCCTGAACCCTGTCCCTGGTTCACACCCCCTATTTCTCTCTCTTTCTCTCTCTCTCTCTCTCTCTCTCTCTCTCTCTCTCTCTCTC